GATTTTCATCAGTATTTGTGTGTTGGTTCGACTAACATTTTAAAACTATGATGCAGGGCTGCATTGATTAAGTCCACAGGTTTTAAAAACAACAGAAAATAGAATTAGTGGACTTTAGTTCATAATGGCAACAAGCGAAGCACCAGAAACTTTTATGTTGTATACTGAAAGTCTGAGCTCAAAGGAGTGTAAAACGCAACCCTGACAAATCTCTAAAGTATTCTCTGCCTCCCAGTAAATACTTCACAGCTTAGGAAAAACTTCATTACTAGTTTGAGCAGCAGTGTGAAGCTGCACAGCAAAAAAAAATTAAGGATTATACTTCCACTACTGTACGCATTTGATTTAGAAACTTTAATCACCAGTGACGCACAAATCACAGAGAAAACGGCTTTTATGGTTTGTGGTGATGTTCAAAATGTATTACTGCAGGAAAAAACAAAGTGGTATGTTATTTAGTTGTCAGATTGTTCTACTGAGTAGTAACTGAGCCAGCAGCATTTACAGACTGAGGCTCCAGCACACCAAGTATTACCCAACAGGTAGTTGGTACCTCTCAGGCAAAAACTCTTCATCAGATGATCTCGAGGTGCTGTCAGTTAATTATCCTGATCATCTTTCTAGACTGCAGATTAAATACCCAGATGTACATAGCAAGGCAAAGTAAACTGTGACTGGGAAGCCCAGTGCCTAAACAAAGTAAGGAAAGCTTTTGCATTCTACTCTCAAGCCTTATCCACCAAACTAAATTACTACCTGAATATCATTCAGAAAGTGTCTGTTTTCAAGGAACAAATTATTTGGTAGAATTCTGTGTGTTTCCTAAATTTAATTCCCAAAATAGCTCTTCATGAAGCAGTCACAATCTCCAGCTGTCCCAATCACACCTTTTTGTTGTACAATGCAGCGCATGAGAAGGAAAGCAAGAAAAACTGATCAATTATGCAAGCTGTAACCACTTGTAGAATCTCTTAATACATGGGAATGAAAAAACAAGGATGTCATCATCATTGAAAAGAACAGCATCCCTCTACTGAACAGAATTGCAAAATATCTTAATCAGATTCCCGCTCTTCTAATGAGGAAGTCAGAACGATATCTATCAAGAAACATATTTGATTTGTTCAATGCAGAAGATTAAAATGGATTCATTAGTGTAGGGATGAAAAGACTCACATTAGTTTAGCTGAGGGAGAACTCACACTACCTTGCTTGATTTAATAGCAGCAAGTACAAAGCATATATGTATATATTTATTCTGACAGGTGTACTTTGGATAGCTCATGCTGGAACATGTTGAAAAAGTATCTGCACAGCATTTATTTAATCAGTGGCACAGACACTTCAAAAAACCTCAGAGCACAACAGATTTCTTATATTCCGACCAGTATTCACCAAGTTCTGATGCATCTTGATTTTCAAGATAAGTCTTAGTAAAGTTCACTTATATCACCAGTAAACACATACAGGCACCTTTCTCATCAACTGCATTGATGACAAAACTTTATTGTTTTCTAGTTCAAGTAGATTTTCCCAAAATAAGTTTCAAGTTAACTTTTCCTGTAAGAAACACTGAAAGCCAAAGGTGTGTCTTCCCTTCTGACAGTACCATTTTCTTATTTCCATTATCATCTTACTTATGCTATTCCCCCTCCTTTTCCAGGATTACTGTTTTACTAGATGAAGGGGGTAAAAACTGACACCTATTAATAAAGCAGTTTTTACAGAATATGCTCAGATTTTACTACCAGGATGCAGCAATATTCTGTATGTTACTCAATGCCTTCTGTTTCTTTGATATAAAATAAAACTAAACTGAATTATTTATCTTTCAGATGAAGAGGGCAAAGAAATTGAGGATTGGAAGGAAAAGGAACATGGATCAGTTCACACTGAACTCCACATCTAGTGATCAGGGATTCATTGCCCACACCATAAGGAATTATTGGTCACACAACTACAGGAACAGTTGGGAAAGCATTAGGCAGCAGTAGGGATGCAAGAACAAGTTTACTAAATGCCTGCATAGCCTAGGCAAAAATCTTAATATAAAAAGAAATCCCAACACTGGCTTATTAGAAACTGCTTTAATCCATCTGTTCCCAAGGAAAAAGAACTTTATGCCACAGTTATGAGCAAGAGAAAATAACAAGACCCTGACTACCTTGACTTCAGAGATGCAGCTGAAGCTATGCAATGTCCAAAAGAAAAGTTTTCATAGGAGATTAATAAAAGATATTCTAAGTGCAGCAGTGAAACTACTAGCACTTTGTATCCATGAAAACATGCTATTACTCCTTACAAAAGCTAATGAAAAAATCCATACAATAGACCTCAAAAACAGCAAGCTGAGCTCCTGTTAGCATAAGCAAAAATATGAATACAAACATAAACTGAAGACTTAAAATCAACCTAATACTTATCTTTCCATTCCAACACACAGAGGCTGGTAATGTTAAAGACACCTCCTGCTACTTATCTACCAAGGCATCACCTGCACACATGAACCAAAATCCTTTCACTCCTTTAGATGATTAGTCATTCCCTAAATCGGCCTAAAGCACACAACATTACATTTCTTCTTGCTCTTTTACCCTGGAATGTAAAGAAAAAGATGGCTGTGTCCTCATCTTTACCAGACACTGGTTCACAGCCCAGCTTAATCTTTGAAACGGCACAAGGCAGTGATACAAGTGATACCACTCAGCCTGCTGGGAAAGGACAAAAATCGTGAACTATAATCCTTTATCCATCCCTAAAGAGCAGAACTGAAACTCCAAACGATCTGCTTTGCCTCCAGCTGCTGTTAATGGCACAATAGGAATATTTAGAAGAAGGCTGTTGAGACCTGGAGAATTCTGTTTACCCATAACTCACAGTGTTCTCTGCAGTGAGACTATTAATGACTCTCAGAAGGACTTAATGTGAATGCTATGGCATAACATTTGTTAAACTTCATATCACTAAAATAAAAATGAGGATATACTGAAAAACACTGAAAAAGTTCAAGACAAACTTCTATTACGTGTGTGTGTATATACACGTATATAAAAAAACAGATGGACTTAACACAAATAGTTCATCTGTTTTCTTCCTCAATTTGATTTTATTAATATTCTGTTCAGTTTAGTTTACTTAAAAAATGCACAGGGACACAATAAAGAACTTGAGAAAACTTGCTGAAAAAAAGCGACTCACTCCAGCATTATCAATGCACAAAGTTTATAGATTTCACACTGTTGGTTCAAGATATTCACATCTATAATCACATATATTCATCTCCCTTTACTCACACTTCCCTCCCTACAGATAAAAGTGCATTCAAAATCCTTGTCCAATGAGTCAGTTAAAAATACACATCTGATTCATGCATATATTCCGAATACAACCCTAAAGCCAAGGGGGATACTATTAATACACAGAACTAAAGAAACAGCCTCAACTAGCTGCTTCTGTTAAATACCTTGTCTGTTACTATTAACTACAGCTACTGTCACAATGTTTCTCCTGCCATTCTCCTTTGTCTCTATGTTTGTTTTTAAAACGAAATATTTAAGTATAGAAGCTACTATATCTTCTATACCTGGATTTACATTTTTGGAGATTTTGTTTAAAAGCTAATATTTAAGTATACTAGCTACTACACTCCATCCCTTATTTGAAGGTTCTGGAGATTTCTGTTTCCTGTATAAAGACTAAATGTAGTCCTTTAAACCTCAGTATTTTAAGAAAGAAAACAAGAGGTGAAGTTACCTCTGTCCTACATACACACCTGTACAATTGCACGGACATAAAAACTGTTTCTAAAATTCTCTATTGTTATTTGTTTCATAGATCTGCTCAAGGATATCAGTTAAGGACCAGCACCTCGTTTTGCTAAACTCCACAAAATCGAGGTCCTTGCCTGACAAAGCCTCCCTCAAGAACACACCACGGAACAGGTAAACGTAAACGCTGACATTTGACAAAAAAACAACAGGAAGGGTTTGAGTAATTTTCCAGGAATAGCAAAACTGACAGAAAAGTTGGCTGAATGCGTAAGGCTACCTGCTCGGGAAACAAAGTTTCTGCTGATACCACTGTAGGAGCAGCTGTTTCCAAACATTCCACGCCATCACCCGCACTCCTTCCCCTGCACAGAATCGCTCTGCTTGACACGTGTCATTCTCCTATCGCTGCGGGACAGAGCCTTCGCCTTCCTCTTTCACTCAGCCTCTTATCTTTACCCCGTGGCCAAAAACAAGCCTTCCCCCTTTCCCCCGCAGCAGAGAGGAGGCGAGGGGCTCAGAATAAAGGAGACAACCCGCTGCTCCGCCCGCTCCCCGCGGCACCCACCGCGGGCGCCCCGGGGAGGGTCGGGGCGGCCCCGCACCTCGGTGGTGGCCTCTCGGCATCGCCGGCCCCCTCCCCTGGGCCGAGCCCGCCGGGCCCGCTCGCAGCTCTGCCCTCAGCGCAGGGCCCTGCCCGCCCGGCGGGAGGGGCCGCGCTGCCCCCGGCCCCGTGACACGGCCCGGTCCCGCCGCGCAGGCCGGGCCCGCATGCCGGGCACGGACAGGTGCAGCCCTCGGGCCGCCCGGGCCCTGCGCTCGGCCCCGGCCTCCTCCTCCTCTCCCCTCGCCAGCCCCTTCCCCCCCGCTCTCCGCACAAAGACGGGCCGCGTACGACCACGGCGGGGCCGGTCCAGGCCTCCTCCGCGGCCGGCGCCGGCGCCCCGGGCCTGCCTCCCTCCCTACCTCCCTCCCTCCCGCCCGCCGCAGGGGCCGCCGCCGCCCACCCGCCTCACCTCCTTGGGGACGAGCTGGTTCTCCTCGCTCGGCACCATGGCCGCTGGCGCGGCGCGAAGCCCGCAGCAGGCTGAGCCGAGCGCCGTCGTCAGCAGCAGCGGGAGGCGGGGGGACGCCCGCGGTTCATCCTCCTCCTTCTCCTCCTCTTCTTCTTCTTCTTCCTCCTCCTCTTCCTCTTCTTCCTCCTCCTCCTCCTCCTCCTCCTCCGCTCCCGCGGGCAGCGCCGCGGCCCCGCCCCGCCGCCAATCCATGGCCAAAATGGCCGCCGGCGCGGCTCTCGCGAGAGCTGTCCCGCCCCGGGCCCACCGGCCTCGGCGCCTTCGGCTCGGCCGTGGCTGTGGCTGGTCCCGGTTCCGGCTCCGGTGCCTCGCCCAGAGCCTCGCCCAGCGCTGGGCGCGCCCGGCCGAGCCGCGCGGTTGTTGACTGAGCACGAGGGGCGGCGCAGAAGCCCCGGCGCGGAGCCCCCGCGGAGCCCCCGCGGGCAGAGCCGCCCCGCGCCCCGGGGCCGGCGATGGCGCTCGGCCGCCGCCGCCGCCGCCCTCCCTCACGTTATCGCGGCGCGGGGGCGTGGGGGGTGAATGAGCGGAACGGGCTGCCGGGGAGGTGCTGGAGTCACCCTCCCTGGAGGTGTTTGAGGGAAGACTTGGACGTGGCGCTTGGTCTGGGTGACACGGTGGTGTCCAGAGGTCTTTTCCAGCCCCAATGGATCCTGTGATTCCGTGAAAATGGAGTAGCAGGAGGCGAACGGGGAGGGAGCGCGCCCATGTCGCTGCCCCGGGTGCGGCACGGGGCTCGAAAGGGTAGATTTTTGTCTGTGACAACCTTCAATATATCTGTTTTTCGTGCCGCCTGAGACACACTAAAAGCCAAGTAAGAATCACTAGAATGACTAAAATGCGCATTAGTAGAAAAGTAATTATTGCCTACTTCGCTGCAAAATAGTAAGTGAAAAGTATTCTACTTGGCTAACGAAGAAGAATGGTATATGGTAGTCCTACGTTTCTGTACAACTTATTTTTCTTATTATTTTGGTGTCCTCTTGTGGAAAAATGCAGTACTGAGGGTAGTTTTTGGTTTTATGTCAAAGAAACTTCGTGTTTTGGGGTAATTTTTGAAACCCAGTGTACTGGAGGTTATTGGTGTTGTGAAGATTTAATAAAATTAAGCTATCTCTTCTCCCTTGTCGCGTTCAAAGTAACTTCTCAGGTCCCTGTCCATCACCCTGCTTTCTCAGAGATAGGTGGAACCCTTTGGAGACAGGATATGTTATTAGTATTTGTATCAGTATTTTAGCACTTAAAAAAGAAAAAGGCTTCCAAATGATCATTTCTGTGAATAATATCAGTGGTTTTATTTTGGTCTTTCAAGTATGCTGTGGTAAATGCTATGTTTCTGGCTTTTTTGTTGCTGTTTTGTTTTATTTATTTCTGCTCCTTGAACTGAGCAGAGAAATCTTCTCATTGAAAAACTTAGAGCAGTTTTTAGGGATATTTCTAACCTGGTTTTCATTCTATAACTTAATGGGCTCAAGTTATTTATATAGTAAAGGTTAGGAGGTTCTTTAAGACAAGAGTTCTTACCCTCTAGCTTTAAAATATGTTGCACCTGAAAGCCTTAGACCCTTGAGCTCTAATATGATGCAATTAAGCATCAAGGCAGAAACATGGGAGTCCCTTGTTAACATTACTTTATGTTAAGCAAGGGGTTGCACAGAGCTACCCCTCTACAAAAGGAAAAAAAAATAAAATAATTTGGTTTTTTAATAGGAAAAAGGTTATGTAATTAATAAACCCATGATTTTTCCCAAAGAGATGTTTTATTAATGCTTATCAGCTGTGTCATCTGGTTAAAATTTTGGGGATTTAGTTGGGGGGGTGATTTTTTGTTTTTGTTTGGGGTTTCTTTTGAGGGGGACTTCTATAAGTATCTTGGTGTGAGAAAAGGTGTAATTGCAGAAGAAATGAAAAATTATATCATCAATTGTAGATAATTTGAAGGAGCACAGCTGACATGTGGTTTCCTATTGTCCAGTGGTGCCCAAAGCTCCATGAGGTCAGTGAGCAAGTCCTTGAGTTGAAGAGCCAGAACAGAGCCAAGCTGGTACAATCATCAGAGCACTGTTTGGAAGCCTCCAACTTTGTTATGTGACTGACTGGCCTGGTGTTACTTCCCCCCCTCCTCCCAGTTTGGGGGCACACTTCCCAAAACCTCTCAAAATTGGGGGAGTCTTCCTCAGTTTTATAAGGAATTCAGAATTTAAGGATAAGAAGCTTTCAGAATTGTTACTTTAAAAAGTTCTTTTGACTCTCTGAACTGTTATGTTCTTATGGTTTTGGTTTTGGGGTTTTTTTTTGCTGTCATTTGAGCTTAACAAGAGAAAAAGCTGCAGGACTCAATGACTTAATTGAAATATATTGTTCTATTAGGATAAAGAGGTAGCTACCACAAATATGTGCCGACTAGATAAGAATCAGGAGTTTGTTTTTTAAAGAAATACTCTTTTAGATCCTCCTGCCAACCTTTAAAACTGTGCAAACATCCAGTGTAGCATGTGTGCATGAAACATCCTTAATGGAGTAATAATTTCTAGTTAATAATTAAATCTCTGAGTGCTTTTGTAATTTGTGGATGCTACAGTATTTAATCTCTTTAAGTGAGACTTCTTAAAGAGGAGTACTCAGCATTTGAATTTCATGAAGGGAATCTTAGCCTTATGTAAAGACTGATTTAATATACTAGAGGTTTAACTTGTCAGTGTGAAGAAGAATTGATATCTCAGACTAAACTTGATGCTGGATTTGCAGGCACAGGTAGAATTTTTGGGCTGTTGACTGACAAACTCTTGCTCAGAGATGCTTTGATGAGAGTCACAAGTGCTGAAGTCAGTTTTCAGCTAATGCAGCACTTGTCACACTAATGTATGCATCAGATTAATGGAAATGTAGTTATACAATGTTGGTGTGCTAAAGTAAATAGCAGGCCTCCATTATAAAAGTTGATGAACTTGTAAATTAGTCTGTGGGAATGGGATACCTCTCCTCCTCTGCAGCCTTTTTAAAGTTTATCCTTTAATCATTTTGCCTTCTCTGTAAAAAAAAAAAATCACTGAATCCTGTCCCAATGTCCATATCCCAGGTTTGATAACTAATGAAAAAATTTGAAAAATGTTTTAAAAACTAAATGGAGTGCTGTCATCTAGTTCTTTCATATGTGCAGTTTAGGTGCTGCAGGCTGATGTCTTTCCCAAGTTATTATCCCACCTGTTTGAAATGGAAAGCCTTTATAAAGAGGATTGTGTAGACTAATACCATTGATTTGGGATGGCCTCTCTGAAACACTCGGGTTTGATTTTTCAAGTAGGCTGTTGGTGGGAGATCCATGTCCTGTCTCAGAGGCAGAGCCAACACTGCAGTTCTTGGTTTTTTCTGTGTTGTTCTGTCAAAAACAACCAACCAACCAAAACCACCAAAAAGCAACCAAACCAAACAAAACAGAACCCTCAATAAAAACTCCCAAAGTTGAAGTTTGCAGCCCTTAGCAAGCTGTTGACAAATTATCAAAATGGCAAAGCACTTCTGTGTTTGCCAGCAGTAGAAATGTAGCCAGTGCTGATGCAGGGTTCTTTTAGAGCTCGTGTGCACTGTCAGCACTTTAAGAAAAACCAGCTCAAGGCCTCTCCCCTTTTCAATCTTTGGCAAGTCCACATCTACTGACAGAAACAGAGATGTGTGAAAGTTCAGGATAGCACAGTCCAGCAGTTCATTGCACTGCTGGTTACTTTGCTGTTTGAGCAAGTAACTTTTCCCCAGTTCCACAGCAAATTTTGAAGCATTTCTCTGAAAATCTGCAACCAACTGCACATCCAGTCCTTTCAATAAGGAAAAGGGAAAAAAAAAATCAGTAAATTTGACCCTTATGTGGATGGAGGGAAAAGGAAGGGAGAATTATTAGGTGGAACAAATAGAATTAGTAAAAGGTAAAGAAGAGAAAATTATATAGTTCTGCATCTTTAAATGTGCTTTTTACTAGGTATTAATTTCTTTGATCGTAGCTCCCTGAGTATGAGACAGACCAGTAAAAGGCTAAAGAGCAAATTAAGATACTTAAAAAAAGAACACTGATTATTTTCAATTATTCTGTACCTGTTAGGAGGCATTTATATTTTAACATTTTAGATTGTTTCTTGAATGTGTTAAGCACTCAAGGAATCAAGGTATTAATTTAAAGATAAGGAATTATTAAATGATTTTTCTATGATCTGTACCTTAAAACTCCCCAGAGATTATAGATTTCCACGTCTGAAGAAGCGTATGCAGAATTTTAGGAAATAAAAAAATCCATTTCTAAGAGTTGAGAATGCTGTGGGAATTAAAATGTTAAGTGGAAGATTTACTATGGAAAAGGTATTCTTTTGCTTTAGAAGGACCGTTGTAACAGGTCTTGTAGGTGTAGTAGATAAGTAAGCAGCCCTCTGAAGTTAAACTTCATGAGATTAAGGAAAAAACTCCTTTATGTTCAGTGCTAAACATTGTGTTCTGCTGTTCCTAAGCAGTGTTTTCTGCCATAATCTTTATGAACATAGAAGTGCTTTTCTCTCCTCTGACATGGTATTTCATACCAAGATCTTTTTCATAGAAACCAGTAGGGGATTATTTCAATTAATTGTAACTCGGCAGCCAAGCTTCATTAACGTTTTTGTTAAAGATTGTCTTATTACTTTGGTTTCAAGATACTGAGTGTTCAGATATTAGCTTAGCAAGCTAGCTTGCTTTTCCATGATAGCATTAATCTTATGTGTGAATTCCCGAAAGAGTTTGGCGCTGAAATTAGTTGTAAAGAGAAATAAAAATACTGCAGAGAGTTTTGCAGGACCATGGATTCCTTTATTAACACTGAATTCTTTTGCCAGCTTGACTTACAATTTTCAGCATTGTGTACTTATAACTACAGAGCAGTTTCTGGCATTAGCAGCCTAAACAAAGCACAGTTCCAGGGTGTTTGACCTCTTGATGCACTTGTTGAAACCTTCCTGGTGTAGCTGGGAGTGAAACATGCAGCAGCAGGCCAACTTCCACTTTGTGTGGTGAGAGTTTGGAAGCAGATGGGGGCTGGTATCACGTAGGGTTTGTGGCATCCAAGCAGATCTCACGTGGAGTTTGCTGGCTTAGCCTCGTGGCCAGACTGTGGCTGGTCCATCCAAAATGTGTGCAGTAGCTTGGAAACGTGCAGACTGGTGGAGTGCATGCATCCTTCCTGGAATATGGGCTTGGATGTCATCTAACCCCCTCCTCCAAGTCTGGGGGGCAGTGGGGGGAAGGAATCTTTGTGCACAGCAACGCAGCAAAGGCTTTCCTACAGGGAAAGCAGGAAGAAAGGAGTGTTGCCTTGAGTGCAACCGTGGTGTGGCAGTGTCAGTCACCAACATGGTTCAGGTACTTTAGAGGTTCAAAAAAAGCTCGCAGTCACATAGCCTGTGGATTTCAAAACGTTGAATTAACACTTACTGCACGTGAGGAATTGCTGTTGGAGGGTGGCCCTAGGAGTGCAAAGGCAGCACTAAATAAGACTATGTAATGTGCAAAAGTAACAGAGTGGCTTAAATTCAGTGTGCTCTCAGTATTCAGGAGCTCTCACAGCATGGACAGTCGAGGTATTTATAGCTGCCCTTGGGTCCTGGGGAGTTAAATAGTTCAGGTTTGCGTGAGGGGTTCCCAGTGACCCTTCAGATTAAATCTGGTGACGTTTAATATTACAAGCAAGTGCTAATTATACTGCTTACAGCTCTTTGGGCAAGCAGGAAGTGGTTTCCCATCCTCAGCATGCCCTAGCACATAGAGAACATTCCATCCTCCCAGATTTAAGTTCCTAGG